TGTGAAATCAGAGTTGGTCCTGATTTGAGCAAGAGGTTGGATGAGAGAGCTAAGAAAACGTTAGAAATGTAGAATCTGATCCTCAGCCGGTGCCGCTTGACTTGATCAACGTTTAGCCCCTCTCTCTCATTTTTCCGTCCTGTTATCTAAAATGCAGCGCGCAGATCCGAAACGCTGCTTCAGAGCGCAGCTGTGTCCGAGCGAGTAGCGAACAGACAGAATCAGTCTTGGCGCGTATGAAAACGAGGGATAGTTTTCAGTTGCGCGGCATCAGAACGGCCCGAAACGCTGAAGATTTGTAAATCCTGTAGCGTAGTGCCTGTAGAAGGTGTTGGGCAGCCTTCACAAAGTTCTTAGAAAGCATTTGTGCTCAACCCCTGCAGCGGGATGTATTTAACAAGTGATTTTTTTTTCCCCCCGCCCAGGGGAATCCCACACATCCATCTCAAATCTTGAGGATAGTTTATGGTACGGAAACCTGAAGTTATTTCATCGGGAACGAACCACAGGAATGTAAACAAATTATGCAGGAGAATGAATGAAGTATTTTTAGCAGTCTGTGGGTGTAGCAGGTAAATCTGATGTGAGTCATCCTGGCAGACCTCAAATTTGGGATGGTTACAGGGTGAGAAATGTTGTCCAGCACATGGACCTCTGCTCCCACATACCTGCCCGGGCGGTGGGGCCCTGACTTTTAATGGGAATTGAAGTACTCAGACCTCAAGGGTTGGAACTAATGTTGGCTCTATTAAAAAAGTATCATGAGTGAAGCTTTTATACGTAATTTAAAGGGATGTTATTATTTTATAGTTGAATGTAAGGAGTCTGATTCGATATAGGTTGATTCATCCCACCCGTTTGTTCCGGTGTTTTGTGCAGGGAAAGATAAAACCTGCTTGAGATGAGGATTTTGAACTCGTTTCTTCTAAATTGACTGTAGGTAGGTGTTATTGCTCGAAAATTCCTTGAGAGGGCAGACCAAAAACTTGGCATCAACAGTGTGAAAGAAGTTGCAAATTTAGGGAATGAACAAGCATGTAGATAGTAAAAGCAGTCGATCCCGGTCCAGCACGTAGGAGAAGCTCGGTGAAACTGGAGAGGGAAAGAGAAGGATGTTTGGGAGAACCGGGATCAGAGAGTCTGTTTTTGAAGTGACGAACAATCCCTTTGCACATTCAGGAGTTATAATCTGAGGCACCCGATCTAGACGAATAGTTACTTGGTTGTAAAGATCCGATTCCAGGGCGCCTAAATTGAGTCGTATGATACTACACTTTCATAACAGGCAAATTATATGTGGCACATATATAGCAGGTCATTCAGGGTTACGTTGACCAACACAGGTTTTGTACAGATTCTTAGGGAAGGAGAAAGAAAGGAGAGACACCATCCCCTCGTGGTGGGTTTTTATTGCCAGAAAACCCTTGGGTTTTTTTTTGTTTTTTTTTTTTTTTAGGAGGAGGTTGGGAGTCAAGACACACCCCGATATAACAGTCAAGCTCCGAAAGTTTATTCGAAAACCAAGTCCTTATGTATTCTTGTACGTTCTAAAAATAGCAGCAAATCCGCGTGTTGCTCTTGCGCACGCTCATTTCAAAAAGCAGTTCCTCTCAGCACTTTCGACAAATGCTACCAACCGTGCGCAGCCGGGAGATAAGTTTCCGCTTTATTATTTTAAAGAATCCCTTCTTATCTGTATCTTCCTTAACGAGCACAAACTCTTTCGCTTTTAGCCGTCGTTAATCTAGACGCCGTTAATCTTCTAACCCGAACACGCCGTTAATTCAGACGCTGTTAATCTTCTAACCCGAGTGCGTCGTTAATTTAGACGTCATTAATCTTTTAACCCGAATGCTGATGATACTTTTACATTGTCAGCGTACGCAGAAAGTTCACGACCCGGCATACGGACCCACAGGTTTTGGTCCAAATGAGCACGGATCCTCCATCACAGGCGCTCGGACAAGCGTCATGGCTGAACCTGTAGGATGGGCGTGGTGTGACTTTGGCGGTGGACGGTAGCTGGACTGCTACTGGAGACACCTTCAGGGAGCCACAACTCAAAAAGCATGAATATTATGCATAATGCACGCTGGATCGCTGAAGGGAAGAGAGATGTCTGGCTTCCGTTGTCTTCGGATTTGTCCCACGCGCTGTAAAAAGTATTGGGGTGTGTGCGGGGAGATTTTTTTTTTTAAAAACTAAACCAGAGTCTTTATGTAAAAAAAAAAAAAAAAAAAAAGC